TATCAGAAGGAAAAGAGAATAGGAAGAAAAAATGTTCAAAGAAGTAATGGCCCAAAAGTTCTCAAATATATTGAAAAACAATAACCTACACATCCAGAAAGCTTAACAAAATCCAAATAAGATAAACTCAAAGAAAACCACAGACACAACATAGTAAAAATGATGAAAGTCAAAGATGAGAAATCTTGAAAGCAGCAAGATAAAAGAAATTAGTCAGTTATAGGGGCTCTCAAGAACATCATAAGCTGACTTTTCAGTGATGAAGGCCAGAAGGCAGTGGGTTGAAATATTTAAAGTACTCTAAGATTAAAAAAAAAAAAGTTCAATCTAGAATTCTATATCCAGCAATGCTATCTTTCAAAAAATGAAGGCAAAATAAAGACACCCAAATAAACAAAAATGGAGAGAATTTGTTGCCAGCAGACCCATCTTATAAGAAATACTAAAGGAAGTTCCTCGGGCTGAGAGCAAGTGATCCCAGACGGTAATTTGAATCTGCATGAAGAGCACTGGTAAAGGGCTCCTCAGAGTAATGGCTGATATCACCACTGGGGCAAGGAAAGTGCATGAGCCTGGATATCTTATTATGTCAGAAAGTAAGAAAGTACTCTAAAAGAATGATGGTGTCATATTAAAATAACACGTAAGCCAACTTGAAGGAATTTCCACTGGCTAAATCTGGAACAAATGGGCACCAAAATAAATAATTTTAGTAATTATAGCTCATTGCATCAAACAGTAAACCATAAGCCCTTACTGGTTAAATATGTAACAAATTTTTAAAATTTAGTTATTAAATACCTAAATTGATTGAAAGTAAGGAGGAAGGGTATAGTTACATAGTTTTAAAGCATCTTTCCACAAAACAATTACTAATTACATGAGGGAAAAGAGTAACTTTATAGTGAGGATGCATGGCAGATATCACTTAATTCAAATTATCAATATGAATATCAATAATAGGACAAATTGAAATCATGAGACACCAAGCAATGTGAAGAGTTCAATACCTCTGTGATATTCTAGAAAAATATTCTTTACCTAATCATGATAGAATCATAAGGGAATATCAAACAAATCCAAACTGAAGAACGTCTTATAAAAACCCAAAATGAGGAATATTCTACAAAGTAATTTTCAGAAGTGCCAAGGTCACTTTGGTGGACAGAACCTATGACCACCCCACACATACAAAAATCCCTGTCCTTTGGTGTTCACACTTCTGTGTAATATACTTCCCTTCAGTTTGAACAGGACTTGTGACTTGCTTTTAACCAATACAATATGGCAGAGGTGATAGGATGTCACTCCGTAATTATATGTGATGTATATAAGACTCCATCTTATTAGCAGAGTTGCTAGAGACACTCCCACTTACTATCCTTGAGGTAAGCTGCCATGAGGTATGTGGCCATGTTGGAGAAGCTTACATGGCAGGAAACTGTGCATAGCTTCTGCGAGCTATAGGTGGCTTCCATTAAGAAACTAAAGCTTAGTCCTGAAGCAGCAAGAAAATGAATTCTGCTAACAACGTGAGGGAGCTTGGAAGCAGGTATTTGCCCTGTATGCCCTCTGATGAGACTGCAGCATTGGCTAACAAACACAGTTCAGCCTACTGAGATCCCGAAGCATAGAACCCAGCTAAGCCAGGCCTGGGTTCCTGATCCACAGGAACTTTAAAATCGTAAATGTGTATTGATTTAAACTGCTAATTTTGTAGCAATTGTTATATGGTGTATAAAACTAGAACAGTTATGAAAGTCAATTAAAGATTAAGAAACTTTCAGACTAAAGCATATTAATGTGTTAGACAACTAAACACATGATTTTTTAAATTTTATTTTTCTAAATAATCTCTACACCCAATGAGGAGCTTGACCTCACAACCTGAGATCAAGAATCACATGTTTCATTGACTGAGCCAGCCAAGCACCTCTGCATTGCATGATCCTGAACTGGATCCTTTAGACAATTCTTTGGAAAACTTGAACAGGGTCTGAGAATCAGGCAGTCACAGTGTGTCAGTGTTATCTTCCTGATTTTGGTGATTATTTTGCAGTTAAGTAGGAGGAAATGTGGTAGGAAATAAACATTAAAAATCCAAGGATGAAATAAAAATTAGTTCATGAAGGTGTTTTTTTCTTCACTTTGCCTAACAAGATTGATTATACTTCTACTTAATTAAAGAAAGGAAGCATTGCTTCCTTCTGCTTTTCCCCTAATGGGTAGGGTTAATGGGAAGGGGATAAAGTATGTGGGCAGAAGCGATGTGAATCAAAGATTAATCGTGCTTATGTGAATTGGTTTCTTTCTTATATTTCTGCTGTTCACCACGAAAAGAACCTGCCTGCCCAGCTCCTGTTCTGAAAAGAACAAGGAAAAACATAAAGTAGATCTGAACCTAATTCAAACCTGGAGCCAGTCCAAGTCAATCTTGGCTAGAAAGAATCACAATCTGCCCAAAGACTTGGTTATTGTCATAAGTCTCTGAAATTTGGGGGTTCTTTATATAACATTACAGTGGTAACTGACTCAAATTCATTCACTTACTTAATTGCTTTGCCCGATTCTAAAACTTATACTCTATTTTTTATTATACTACCACAATTCAATTATATTTACAAGGAAAAAAAAAACCTAGTTTTATTTGGAATCTTTTCAAATGTCTTGGTAAATTTATTTTTGCTTCCTACATTATAAATTTATATTTTTAAACTACCATTTCTTAATAGTGTCCTCAGGCATTTATCATAAAGTCTAATAAACAATATATCTAAACTGGTAACTTCAGGTATCTTGGTATAGGCTATATTGGTCACACTTTGTAAGTCAGAAGTCTTTAAAATATTAGGATCTGTGGTATTAAGGTATGATATTATGGTTAGGATCTATATTTTGATTGTTTAGGATTTTTTGTAAAGATTTTCTTTATTTGAGAGAGAGCGTGCACACAAGTGGGGGGAGGGGCAGTGGGAGAGGAAGAAACAGACTCCCTGCTGAGCACAGAGCCTCATGGGGGACTTAGTCCCAGGACCCTGAGATCATGACCTGAACTGAAGTCAGAAGCTTAACTGACTGAGCCACCCAGGCACCCCTAGGATTTCTTAGGATGTACCAGAGTTACAATCCAAAGAATGCACCAGGAATGCACCAGTTTCACACACTGATCTTGAGAGGAGATCTCCTCATCTCAAACCCAGTTTTTTGGCACCTGCTTCTCTTTGTTTTTATTGTGGGAATATACCGCTGTGACTCCTTGCAGCAGGCAAAAGGAACGACTGCTAGTGCTCAATTCCTCTCTCTAACTCACTGGGTAACTTGGGGCCTGCCACTACGCCTCAGTTGCCATATGTGAAATGAAAATCGGGTAAGTAAAAGTCTTTATAGATTGTGAAACACCTTAACATTAGAGCCAGCGTAGTATATGCAGTAAGAGTTTCAGTTGAGCCCAGCTTATTTGTTCTGTAACCTCGGGCAGATAACTCTTTGTGCCTCAGTTTCTTCATCCCTTAATAGGGGTAATGATAATTCCTTCTTCGGAGAGTTCTTGAGAAGACAGAATGATGTAACACATGTGTAGCATTTAAATAGCACTTAAAACATAGCAGTTAAGAAATGTTAAATAATAATACTACTAAATATTTGTATAATTAAATTATTGAGTGCATAAAATAAGCAAAGCTCTGCACAGAAAACAATATGGTATTGTAATATATTGTAATCAGCTAACTTTTTAAGTTTTTATTTAAGTTGCAGTTAACATACTTGTAATATTAGTTTCAGGTGTACAATTTAGTGATTCAGCACGTCCATAGAACACTTGGTCCTCATCACAAGTGCCCTCCTTAATCCCTACTATCTATTTAACCCACCACCTCACCCACCCCATTTCTGGTAACCCTCAGTTCTCTGTAGTTAAGAGTCTGTTTCATGGTTCTCTCTTTTCTTCCCTATGCTCATTTTGTTTCTTAAATTCCACATGAGTGAAATCATATATATTTGTCTTTCTCCTGATTAACTTATTTCACTCAGCATTATACTCTCTAGCTCCATCCATGTCATTGCAAATGGCAAGATTTCATTCTTTTTATTTTATTTATTTGACAGAGATCACAAGTAGGCAGAGAGGCAGACAGAGAGAGAGAGGGGGAAGCAGACTCCCCGCCGAGCAGAGAGCCCGACGCGGGGCTCCATCCCAGGACCCTGAGATCATGACCTGAGCTTAAGGCAGAGGCTTTAACCCACTGAGCCACTCAGGCGCCCCAGATTTCATTCTTTTTTATATCTGAGTAATATTCCTCTGTGTGTGTGTGTGTGTGTGTGTGTGTGTGTATGCACCACATTTTCTTTATCCATTCATCAGTCAATGGACATTTGAGCTGTTTCCATAATTAGGCTATCATAAATAATAGTAAGCAGCTAATGTTACTTACCCTGAGGATATAGCCATGTACTCAGATATGTGTAGTACCAAGCCGTATGCACAGAATGTTGGGGGGAGGTTTGGAGTTGAGCTGGGCAGGCACTGAAGGATGGTTTCTGTTTTGATACATGAAAATGAGGATGAAGTGAGAGATGCATAAGCAAAGCCACAGTCATAGGAGTGTTGTGGGATTTAAGACTAGAAGAGTGTGTTCGGTCCAGGTTGCGAAGAGTCCAGAATGGCAGTCTGTGGAGTCTGGATTCTCTTTAGACATCAGGAAAGAGCCTCTCGTGGACTTTAAGCAGTGATGTTAACAGAGCACTGAATTAGGAAAGTTAGTCCGATAGTGGTTTGTGTAAAAGCACAGAAGAGTGAAGCGTAGATATCAAGAGATCATCTGGAAGAAATGATCTAGTTCTCTAGTAGTGAAGGGATAAGAGCCTGAACCAAGGTATGGCCATAGAACCAGAAAAGTCAAGACAGATGTGAGAGGCATTTTGTCAAACAATTCAAGAAGATGATATGTTCTGTGCCCTTTACCGATGGGAAAGAGCTTACCTGACTGGTTCGCCCCAACATGGCATCCAGTACACAGCCAGTGATCTGCTCACAGTTCTACAGTGCACTCATCCTTATGGAACACTTCTGTAGGGTTTGCCAAAGGTAACCTTTCTGTTCTAGGCTTATACTTTATCACTCCGAAGTGTTGTGAAAGGTGACTGTGGAAATCTAAACAATGCATTAATAATAGGCAGTGGCAAGGGTATACATTCCTTGACAAGTAACTGTTGCTTCTAAACTATCCATGAAGTTGGGTTGATCCTGTAAATCATTATTGTAGAATGGCCTGTAAGAACTACTATTATCCCTATTTTACAGATGAGAACTTTGAGGGACAAAAAGAATTTTATAAGCTCTCTTTACAAATTTCTCTCATCCTTCTAGTCTTAGCTCTAATGTCTTCTCCTCTTGAGGACTTTTCAGAGCCTTGAGGAAATCTGAGCTCCTTGAATATAGTTTATAGTTATAGTTTATAGTTTTTCATGAAATTTACAGTTTATATTAGAGTCATTTTTCTTCATTTTACCTCACTTATTCAAGCACAAGTTTCTTTAAGGGAGAGGCTATTGTATTCATCTTTATGTTCCCCATACAGCATAGTCCTGGCGCCTTACACATAGTAGGGGCTCAATAAATGTTTGTTGAATTGATTGAACTATGTACACTAATAAGCCCTAGTCTGCTATGGGTATGGTTTATTTGAATGTGTAATTGGTAGTTTCCCCATGGATCCCTTGAAGAGTGTGTTGATACCTTAGTAGCTCTTTGAAGTTTGATGCATTTAATTAATTGTGCAATCTTTTCAGAGTTCTTGTATCAAGAAGGTAGACTGCATATTATAATGTGTCCATTGCTTATTTTTTTAAAAAAAGACCTTTTTATCTATTCCAGTTAACAAAGACAACAAAGAAGAGAAATACCTGGGTTCAAAATATTAACCAATTATATTCTCCCTAAAATTAAATATTTGAAGATCTTCTCTGTTCTATTTCATTATTCCTTTTTCCCTGCTTTTGGTCAGAAAGGAGCCATTCCCAGGTAATTCCACCTGGTTCTATTTTTCTTGTGTTTTTACTCCATGTAAGTATTTATAAAGAATGCTGATTTCTCTGAACTGCAGTGTATAAGAGGACTGGTTTTGAGCCAGGGAGAGTGTGCTTCCATGAGACGGAGCCAGGAGATGTGTCTTACAGGCAAATATATGGCTACAGCCTCATAGACTAATACTGCTGTGGGGGCTCTAGGCTTTCAGCCTCTTTAAGGGTAGATATACTGTACCTCCCATCACACAGCCTTCCAGCTTCCGGCACTCTCTAGGGTTTGGAATATAGTAAACCTGGTATTAGAACGCTGTTTCTCAAACAAGGCTGATCATAAAACTGAGTCAGGGTGTTTGTAAAAGAATTTTAGTCTCAGTCCCTGTCCTAGAATCTACTTCCTAAAAACTTCAGAGGAGGGGATAGATGTTTTTATACCACACCCCTGATTAAAACTTATGATCAGGTAAACTGGGACACTTTTGTATAGTGGTTTAAAATAACTATGTCTAGTACCTTTCACTTACTGGCTGTGTGAATATTAATTTAGTTTCCTCAAATGTAAAATGAGGATTATTACATATTACAACTATTAGAATTTTAGAGAGGATTAAAGTAAATGATAATGTATGTTAAATGCTTAGCATAGTATCTGAGACATAGCCCTCAATAAACATCAGCTATATTGTGAACGCTTTTCCCCTTTTACTTATATCTGTCTTGCCTTGTAGAGGATGTTGTACATCTCTAAGTCACTTTTTCCAGGCAATCTTTGCTAATTAGAAGAGATTATCTGAAGTCCTGTGCTTACTAAACCTGCAGTATCTCTTCTAGGAAATCACAATATTTTAGATTTGAAAAGGACTTAAGGGTGTATAGTCCAATACCCTAATGTCATTCTCCTATTTTTGGTCTCTATCTTGTTCATTTTCAGTTAGCTCCCTATTCATGTATAATTGTGTATTACCCTTTTGGGATCATCTCCCTCCTACTTTCTTTTCGGACTGGGCAAACTATATGACCTCCCAGATGGTTCCAGGATCCCTCTCACACCCAGAAAATGTCCTGGTGTGCTTATTCCTTTTACAGTTATAAGATTTACCCATCCACCAAACATCTTTCCATGATAGCTTTCCCACTGCTGCCCAAAGAGAAACTATGAATGCTCATCCTGGATTTTAAAAACCAACATGTTTTCCTCACTACTAGCAATCTAAGAGTCAACCTTACTAAGTTTTCAGTTTATGTTTTTCTAGTTTTTTGTCTACTTATCTGAATCAGTCTCATCTCTTAGACTATATATTCCTGAAAGGAGTTTTCATGTTTTCCCACTGTCTTAGGAAAAATTCTGCACAACTACGTAATAAATGCCAAAATAATACAATGCTGATGTTTGTAGTAAATACAACGGAGTCGAGTTAGACTGTTATAGTGTCCTTGTTCCAATAAAATTCTTTTGGTCCACCCCATTGTGGAGACGCTGCGGCAGAAGGCAGAGGCGGACAAGAACGACAAGGCTGTCAAGGACCTGGTGGTGCTGCTGTTTGAAACAGCTCTGCTCTCTTCTGGCTTCTCACTCGAGGATCCCCAGACTCACTCCAACCGCATCTACCGCATGATCAAGCTAGGCCTGGGCATTGATGAAGATGAAGTGACAGCAGAGGAACCCAGTGCTGCTGTTCCTGATGAGATCCCCCCCCTTGAGGGTGATGAGGATGCCTCTCGCATGGAAGAAGTAGATTAGTTCTACGTGCAGACCTTGAGCTCTCTGTATAGTGTCCCCATGACTCCCCAGCAGCCCGGAGTGGCCCTGTTCACCTGGTTCCCTCTGCTGATGTCTAGTGGTTTTTTTTTTTCTCCTTCTTTCTTTGAGGCGGGAAAGAAGGCCCTCAAGCCCTATCCCTTTTGATTATTTGACAAGGGGTTTGGATGTGTATTGTGTTTTTTTTTTCTGTTTATTTTGTTCCGAGATTAAAGTATGCAAAATAAAGAAGATACAGTTTTATACAAAAAAAAAAAAAAAAAATTCTTTTGGTCCTAAGGTATATTTGCCTGATTTCTTTTCACTTTAAAAACAATTTAATGCACCATCAATCTTTGTCTCTGCATTTCTCCAATTTTAAGAAACGACTTCTTTGTGCTAATTTGTCAAGCAAAACTTTAATAAACGACTCCTGGAAATTTAGAACACAAAATTTTGAAGCATTCATTTGCTTTTCTTGGCATTTACTTCCTTAAAGAAGTCAAGAAATTATCGAAGCATGACTTTTTCATTCCGGAGACTGCATTGGCTACCTTTAATCAAGCTGTGCTTTTCTCAGTGTTCCCCATTTAATCTCCTAAAATACTTCCTAAGACTTTGCCCCCCACAATGGAATCAAAACTAAATGGTCTGTAATTTCCTCAAGTGTTCCCAGATCCTGTTGTAAATAATGACATTGTGCTGGCCACTTTCCAGTCTGAATGAAGTGACCTTGTAAAAATGTCTGCTCACTCTTCTATAATGTCTTTTTCTACTTTCTGTAGGGCTCTTGGATACAGCTTGGCAAACAATACCTATTCCAAGAAACACCATTCTTCACGTCAGTATGTTATTTCCTTCATATAGGCAGTACTGTATCCAGAGCTAAAAGACTTATGTCTAAAAGTTAATTAATATTTTAAAATAAGGAATTATAGGTGCACTATGACAGAAGGCCAGACTGGATGACCTATGAATATCTGAATTGACAGAAAGAAAATCTATTGTGGTTTTGCAAACTCTTTAAGAAAATGTTGAATTTCCATTTAGTCATTAGATAGCTTTTATTGTAATGATGTTCAATGCCTTTTTTTTTTTTCTTAGAAAAGAAACCATTCCAACTCTATAATACAAAAACACTTAAAATTAGTTATTTCAGTCTGGCAGTTAGAAAGGAATATTTCACAATATCAGTAAAGATAGATGTTCTTTCTGAGCAATTATGTTGCATTCAAATGAGACATATGTGATGTTTTGGTTGTCCCAATGGTCGTCCTCCCCCTACCCCTATTAAAAAAAAAAAAAAAAGAATCAGGACATCTGGCAAGGCCTAGGGAAAAGCAGCTAAACTCACTGAAGGGACAGGGTACTTCTCCCATGAAGACAGACTAAAAATACAAAAACCTATTAGTGTGAAATAACAAAGGCTGAAAGGGGAGAAGTAACTGGGACTTCTGAATCCCCAGCCATGTGGGACCACCAGCTAGACAAGCTAATTAAAATTAGCAACCCATTTTTGTTTATGGCCTCCATGAGCATACAAGTTTTATAAATTATATACAAGCGCTACAACTAAGAGTAATTAAAGAGAGGGAGATAGTGGTAGTTTTCAACAGATGGCAGTGATTTTATTATTTTCTTTAAGAAAATCCAAAGGGTAACCAACTTATGAGAGCATTTTGAACTTCAGAAATCGAATCAAGATTTAAAAGCATTTTGGAAGTTGTAAAGCTAGGAAATAAGCTGACAAAGTTTTTTCCTCATAAAATAGAGGCAAAATAACAGTATTTAAAATTTGGTTGTTTGGTTCTTACTTTGAGTAGAGCAACTGCTTTTGCTCATGCTTTCATAACTATAAACATCGCATGCATTAGTGGGGTCAGCATGTATTCATTTACCTTCCCTCGGCTTTGTTCAGCTCTGTCAAACACCTGTAACACAGTATGCTCCATTGTAGGAGACTGGCAGCAAGGTCCTATTTAATTAACTAATTAGATGACTCATCCTACACGTAAATTAGCATTATTAGGTCTTTTATAATGATTGTTGAAGCATTGTAAATTAATTTTCTTACTGGCTATGACCATCATTTGCTGCTATCACAGTATTAAGAGATAATGCCATGCACAGTAGGAAATCTCTATCAGCAGAAAATGAACATGGTCATCCTTGGATCACCAATTAGAAAACCTATTGTGTAACAAAAACATCATTTCTATGCTGTAATATGATCAACTAACCATTAATTACCTTCACTAGTGAGAATTACCTTCTTTGTTGGAGGAGTATTACATTCCATATTATAGTTCAAAAATGTCAGGAGAAACCAGCAACAAAAACATCAATTTCTAAAAAGGATACATATAATCCAAATTATATTAACCTAACATGCTACATGTCAGGTAAAATTAGCATAAGCTTTGTTACTGAGTCTGAATAATATAGCTTACCTCTTAGCCTTTAGATGTATTGATTAAATAGGCCATCCTCACCTGCCCATAAATACAAATATAATCAGACTGCACTGTTCTCTAGGGAACTGAACGGCAAAAAAACCTTGGTAAGTATCCAGTCCAGATTCATGATAATTAAGAGCCTGTTTCCTTGCCTAATGCAGAGATGACAGAATGAAGATAAGCAGATCCCTGGAGGCTGTGCTTACAGCTGGTACATGGTTTTGTGTGTGTGTGTGTGTGTGTGTGTGTGTGCGCGCGCGCACGTGCACGCATGTGTGTGTGTGCGTGCATCCCCACATACACATGTGTTTGTGTCTCTGTGTGTAAAAATGCATGCTTCCTATGACCAGTGTTCTAAACTTTCTTTCATGAGATTCTCAAGGGGGATCTGTGACACCCACCTACCCTCCAAGCGGCACTGCCTTAGAAAGCTCGTGTGGAAGCAGCCAGTGGGCATGAAGGTTCAGCCATGAATGAATGGGAATGCCAATTTGAGGTCTCTGTCTTGCTCAGCATGGCCTGTTACACCTTCACTGGGCAGGGATATGGTGTGATGGTCAGGAGATGAAACCCTGGTTTAGGTGGCCAGGATTTGGTCCCAACTCCTACCCTGTAGAAGTTATGTCCCCTTGGGCAAGGTACCCCAACTTCTTCGTGGCATGGTTTTACTCATCTTAAAATAGTCACCTCAGAAGTCTGTTGTAACTTTGTAGATTCTCAGGGAGTTTCTGGTGATCTAAATAGCAGAATCACAGAGTGAAAAACTAGTAAGTTTGACTACATAAAAATTAAAGTCACTGCAGGACTATAATTATCATAGATAAAAAATAATATAAAATGGTATATTTTATTTTAAAATAATCCAGCAGGGCAGAAGAAGAGAGGTGATAGAGGCATGGTGATAAATGAATTGAGATTGTGTGTATATTGATAATGCTGGGTATTTAGTCCATACAAATTTATTAACCTATTCTCTTTATTTTTGTATGTGTTTGAAATTTTCTGAAATAAAAAATTAAAAAAAAATACCATGGACAGTATCAAAAGAATAAGGACAAATTAAGGGAAAAAATATTTGTAGGTCATATCATGTTAAGGGGCTAATTTCCCCTAATACTAAAGAGGCCATACAAGTCAATAAAAAAGACCAACAAAACAACATTTCAAAAAAAGAAAATGAACACAATTAAGAAAAAAGGAAAAATATATCAAGTAATGATTATTTTTATAAAATATCACATATACTTAATTTTTATATTACATTCTAATTTATTTAAAGAAATATTAAAATTTAATATATTATATATGTTTAGTATATTTAAATAAATATTTAAATTTACTTTATAAGTCTTATATTTTTACAAAATAAGATCATTCTATTTAAAATATATCAAGTAATGCTCATTTTATTTATAGTAGGAGAAAATACAAATTAGAAACAATAGTGAAAAATCCATTTTTGATCTATCAAATTGGCAAAGATCAAAAAGTTTGATAAGACATGTGGTTAAGAGTATAAGATAGTATAACTTCTTTGGGGAGCAATTTTATAGTATCTGTGCAAAGTTAAAATGTACCTTCCTTTTAACCCATCAGGCATTTGCCCACAAATATATTCATACATGAGTTCAAAGCAAAGCATATAAGGATATTTGATGTAGTTGATTGTAATAGCAAAAGATTTGCAACATCCTACATGTCTGTTAAGAAGGAATTGGTTAAATAGATTATAGTACGTCCACAGAATGGAATACTAAGAGGTAGTTAAAAAGAAAGAGGCAGCTCTGTAATTTGAGTTGATCTCTAATGCATTCAATGTGGAAAAAAAAGGGGGGGGGAGTAGAAAAGTAGAAGAATATGTGCCCGTGTAAAAAAATATATCCATATGTTTCCATATGCACAGAATAAGAATCTGTAGAAGGATATAGAAAAACCACTTACAGTGGTGTCTCAGGAGAGGGGAGATGAGGTGGACAAAGATACAGGCAAAGGAGGGAGTCTTACTCTTGACTGTACATTCAGTTTCTCTAAACTTTTTTTTTTTTTTTTTACTATGGGCATGTATTAGCTATTCACAAATGTATTTTTTACATATGAATGCTTAGAATTATATTGGCATATATTAAATGCTCAATGTTATCTACTCATATTGTGACTGTATTTTTACTCCAACCTTATCTTCCACTACGCCACTGCACATACCTTTTTGCAACCCAGAGTGAATCATAACCAGTCCCCAAATGTGCTCTGTGTTTTGCTGTTTCCATACTTCTATTCATGTGCTTACCTCATCTTAAAAGGTCCCTCTTCCATCTTTACCCGTTGTAATTCTACCTACCCTTCAAGGCCCAATTCAATTCAAATACCTCCTCTTCTTATATTATATACTTGCTAGGTAATCTTGAGAAATTTATGTATTTGCCTCAGCCTTGGTTTTCACATCAGTTAAATGGGTGGTAATAATAGAAGTTGTAGGGACGCCTGGGTGGCTCACTTGGTTAAGTGGCTGCCTTCGGCTTGGGTCATGATCCCTGCATCCTGGGATCAAGTCCCACATCAGGCTCCTTACTCCGCCGGGAGCCTGCTTCTCCCTCTGCCTCTGCCTGCCACTCTGCCTGCCTGTATTTTCTCTCTCTGACAAATAAATAAATAAAATCTT